CAGGAGGGACTCTATTTAGAAGAGCTGGATCCACGTTCTGAAACCCAACTCAGGATGCCTCTGGGAAACATAGCTTTGTCATCTCCATCCCATGGGGAGCTGGGATGAGGGACGTCTGGTCCCTGAGCCCCGCTTCCAGTTGTCCACAGGTGAGCTGGCATCTCCCACACTGCCGGGCATTCTCCTGAGCTGAGGTGGTAGCAGTGAGCCGATTTCAGGTCCCAGACGATATTAAATCACATTGCATTGTGTCACCAGAGAATCAGTCACATTGCATCACCAGAAACTAGTTTGTATGCAGTTCATGGTCCACTTTACTGATTTAATCCACCAAATGATACAAAGGAGAAAGTGTCTATAGAGAGAAGAGCCCACTGTACCCTGACTTTGAATTAACCACACCTTGGCTTTGCCCTTGGCTGCTGGAAGGTGATTGCTGGGCCCTGGAAAACCTCTGACTGGTGTGTGGCTTTCTTTATATGGGGGCCTCGGCTCACATCAGCTGGTTTCTAACAGTGCAATTTATGGTGGGGGCTTTGGGTCACATGGATCAGCAACACCCCCGAAAGGGCTGGACGCTAAGGTCAGCCAGATGGGAAGTCAATCATGTCTATATGACTGAGCCCAGAGTTTATACACTCTTGACCTAAGGCTTGACTGAATGGGCAGTCCCCCTGGGGAAGTTAGCATCGTCCACAGCGCTCCACTCTGGGAGGGGACAGGGAAGATTTGTGCTGGGCACACTCCCAGGTCCTTCCCCATGTGTCTCTCTCCCTGGTTGATCTGAATGCGCGTCTTTTCATCGTTGTCAACCGTGACCATGAACCTAACGGCAATCATTGCGCTCCGAGCCCTTCTGGCCAATCATCCAACTCAAGGATGATCATGGGGGTCCTCAGACCCACATGGGTACCAGAGGTGAGGGCAGTCTCAGGCCTCCCAACCTCTGCAGTGTCTGGGTGGTGGGTACTGACCACACCCGAGACGCGATGGTCTCCCTGGCCCAGCCCTCGGTCAGCGTCTTCGTGTCCAGTTAGGACACAGCGAGACTCTGACTTCATGAGTTTTCATGAGATTCATCTTTATGGGTGTCTTCTATTTATATCAAGCTATATTGATTTTCTATATATGATTGTGCCTTTTAAAATAAATCTATTGAAGTTAAAAAGGGAATTGGTCTTTTTTAAAAAAGTGATGAATAATACAGGGTGTGTGTGAAAATTGGCAAAAAGAACATGCAACAACTGAAGATTGGGAAATAATACCCCACAAACATCCCACACGCTGGTGTGGCCGCTCAGCCAGGGGCACATGTGCTGCCAGCAATTCCTGGGGTCAGAAGTGGTTTTCCCTTCCCCACCACAACCTGCAGCAAGCCCTTCTCTGGTGATTTTCATTTATTTATTATTATTATTATTATTATTAT